TATATATATATATATATATATATATATATATATATATATATATATATATATATATATATATATATATATATATATATATATACATGGTAAGTGGGTGAAGCACATGTTTAGTCGTTGTGAAACTTAACTTGGGAGAATTGGTACCCAATACATAAGAAAATAGTACTAAAGAATGAAACCTATTTAAATTGAAGCTCTATTTATATATATTCCTACATAATTATATGTATCCTCATGTCAGTGATTAGATGCAACACACTACTATAAGATTAAAAGTTTTCTAATGCCACCCTCTGCTCACCATAATCTCAAATAAACCCTCGTAATCGTAAATATATTCATCTGAATTTAGTTGTAGATTTTATGGATTTTCTTTCAGGTAGCAGAATTACTTATGACAATCTAGTTGATATGGACTAGGATTAGAAATTTTTCAGACTTATAAATATATTGAGTCATTTAAAAAAAATTAGTTTTTAGATTTATTGATCACCTAATTAAACCTTAAGATGATATTAGTGGACCTACTTGTACATAATGTGTGGATATTATGATTTGTAAATATATTATATTTTTTACCTAAAAGTTTAATCTTTTGGAATAATTGATAACATAATAATTTTTTTAAGATATCGATATCTTAATAGTTAACTTAAGCATAACCTCATGATCAATTAGTAAATGAAAGAAAACATATGAGTGTGGTTAACCTTCGATGAAGAAGAGGTAGATGGCTCTAGATTTGTTCCTAGTCCACATCAATCTAACCCTCATGCCACCTAAAAATTAAATTAATTAGATAAATATTTTCAATTAATTTAGGATAATTTATTAGAAAAGCTTTAATGATAGAGTTTTATCCTATCATACCCTTATATTTGATTTTTATCATCAGAACTTGACTTTGGGTTATTTTAGCCGGATGATTTAATAAAAATCTAAACATTTGATTTATTTTTATTAAGTTTTAAATTTTTTTTCTAAATTACCTCGCTATCCTTATTCTTAAATTATCCTCGTCGCCTCCGCTTCCACTCCTCCTCCTCTCATTCCACCACCTCCTCTTCCTCTCCCATAATTTCCTCCTCTTCCCTCTCTTTCTCTCTCATCCACCTTCCTCTCTCTCTCTAAAAATGAATATTATAATTTATTTTATGTGTGAAAGTAAAATTAAATTAAATTATTTCTTATCTTTGGGAGAGGACTCATATTCTCGAAGCTTTCCTTTCTCATTTTTCATCTTGTTTGGTAGTGAAAGGATTAAGGAGATGAATCCTCAAGAGAGGTAGTGAAAATTCAAAGAGCTATACTCTATCATAAATTTAATAAAAAATATCATATTTCAAAAATTAATCACCCTGAATTCATAAAATATGATAATAAATATATTAGCATCACACGATAGTAGCTCAAGAGAAGTTTGGATAGTTTTTTTTTTTTGAAAATTCAAAGAGTTGCACTCAATCGCAGAATCAACTCAAAATTATTTTATTTAAAAAATTAATCTTAAAATTATAAAAAGTAAAAAAAAGATACTAAACATATTATCATCTCACCCTAGTAGTTCCAAAAAAGTTTAGATATATTTGATGAAAATTCAATAGGTTATATTCAATCATCGATTCAACCAAAAAATATCCTTATTGAAAATTTATTTAATATCTTAGAATAATATACTACTTAGGTTATATTCAATAAGTTTGAATGAATTTGATGAAAATACCTTAGTTATCCTCGAATTATACTACATGTGCTTATAGATTCAACAAAGTCTAACCCAATCCATTACGATCGAACCAACTTAATTCAAAATGATCTGATATGAATCTATGAGACCAAACCAATCCGAAATGATGGATCTTTTGCTTGAAATAATTTGATTTAATAATATTATTTAAAATTTATAAATATATTTTTTTTATAAAAATCAAATATTGCAACATCATCTGATAAAAATTTAATGCTAGAAGCTTTTTGGTAAATTACCCATTAATTTATTTATTGCACATGATTCAAGCTTTTAAATCCTTTTACTTGACTCTGAAAGGACATAGACCTGCTGATGCAGACTAAGTTCGCTGGAAGCCATCTCATCTGCCAGCTCATCTGCATTTAATAGTTCCTCACCTTCTGTTGATAGGTTGCATGTGGCTTTTGGTACTTTGGACTCTTCCTGCTCTCAATTTTTAAGTTAAGAACTCCATCTACCAATATCGATATGTGGATACCATAATCACATGCCAATCAAGAAAAAAAGTTTCAAACATCTCTCTTCAACATAAGTAGTATTTATAGGACGTTCTTTTTCGAATAACACAATTATATTACTTACGAAGGTAATTAATTTGCACTTACGAGGTTCAAAATCTGGTCAGATAAAATTTTCTATTCATACTTAAAAGACTAATTTAATAATAATTTATTTTTTATCAATTTTATTGAAGAATGTGTTAGGAATGAGTCCGCACTAAGAGAGGGGTGAATTAGTGTAGCCGTAAAATACGTCTTCAAATCGGTTCCGAAAAATCTCTTCGTACGATAAAACCGATTTCAGAAATGCTTAACTTCGAAAGCAAAACAAGAATGTATTGAATGTAAAGTAAGTAAGTAGGTAAATTGGTTTGTAGTAAAGATAAATTGCTCAAAGTAAAATGCAAACCAGATTTTAGAGTGGTTCGGTCATCATGACCTATATCCACTTCACTGATTCCTCTTCCGTCAAGGCCACTAGCATCCACTATCGATCTTCCTTTAATAGGCGAAGATCAACCTCCTTCTTACACTCCTTTTCTCCTTGTACCGGGTTTAGGAGACAACCCTTACAAGCACATACACTCCTCTCTAAACAGAATTCTAACACTTAGACTAGAGGAGGATTCTCATGAGAGATTTCTATAGCGTTTTTCCCTTTTTAAATTCTCTGTGCTTGTTTATCTTAACCAGGGATGAGAAGGATATTTATAAGCTTCAAGTTGATTCAAACTTGAAGCCTAAAAAGGTCTCATCCTAGGTTTCCTGGGTACTGGCGGTACCACCGCTGTTCTTGGACGGTACTACCACCATAGGATCTGGTATTGGGCGGTACCACCACCTAGGAATCCTAGGGTGCTGTTCCCCAAGCGGTGCCACCGCCAGCCCTGGTGGTGCCGCTGCCGGCCATGGTTTCAACACCCTAATTGGG